TATCGCGTCATGAATAATTAAAAATCCCTCAAAACAATTAATGCTGTCCTGGAAATCGTTAATATATGAGCTTTGTAGACCTACGAATTCTTAAGAGGCGTGTTTCATCTCCAAATCCATGTGAGGGTTATTTAACAATTCCAAATCTACTTCTCCTCCACTCAGGAGAAGATATACTAAAATTGCAGATTTTGTTGATAGAAGTTTCATTAAAGTCTTGAAATAGACTTTCAAAAAAATAATTGGATTTGGGATAAAGGCAGAAACATTTGGTTTAAAACTTGGATTGCTTCTTGCCAATTTACAACATTATGGAAACCCTATAGCAAGTGGCGTTCCATGTACCTTATTGATAAGTTCTCTGTCTTCTATGCATTTATTATATATCTGATAAATTTTGATAGATGTCTTTGATAGGATCTCTTTCTTAAGCAATGAATTTTCCTTGTTTGATAGGTCGACCATTGAGGAAATAAAAAAAATTATTATCGCACTCGTTATGTACACATTCCTGATATACATTATTTCTTAGCGCAAATATCAATCTGTTTGATTTATAATCTGTGTCACTCTCAATCAACACTTTGATCTTTTCGGTTATAGCTTTGAATTCTTGAAAATCCTCGTTAGACAAAGAAAGTCATGAGATTTTTTAGCAAATGAAAACCGAACCCGAAGGTTTTTTTTCTCGTTTTGGAATTTTGGGAACAAGGGGTAGATAAGCACAGTTTATATTTTCGCAGCATTGTTAAGGCTTGAAAAGGGGGGCCTTATTTATACGAGAAAAGTTTACTGTGACGTCACACAAAATATGACTTTTATAAATTTTCTCATAATACCTGAAAATGAAATAATTTGCATTTTTCAAGCATGTTTAAGCATAATAAACAACAATAAAACTTATCAATGCATTTGAAAAACTTGCTAGATAAATCCCATATGGCTGATTATAAACAAAGCACTGATCGCGAAGAACTTGTATACATGACGTCATTTTGGTAAAAATGAGGTATTTCATGTGCTGTGAGAGGCAGATTGAGGATATTTTAACAATTAGAAATGCGTCTTATTATTAAACGGAATAGTATTTACAGAGTCTAGATAGTCAATTCATACCAATTTATATCCCTTGTTTAGTACGATTATTCATTAACTATCAAGAGAATGTACTTTATTAATTTTGTGGTGTTAACGTTTTTATGTACAGGTAACGTATACTTTACATCGAGATTCTTCATAAAATCGTACTTTTGCAAGGACATACACTGAATAGATCTTAACCATTTTATAAATATTGGTAAAGGATATTTTTCTTAACTTGAAAAATGCTGCTGCATTCTTTAAATCGAGGGCGTGATTTTATAAGTACGCAAAATATTTGGTAAAAGTCAAACATATTTCGACATTGGCTTATTTACCTGAAAATTAAACTATTAAAACGTGAATTTTATTCAAAGCAGCAGCACTTTTCAGAAATTACAAAGTATGCAGTAACAAATGATGGCTTGAATTTTTAATTTCAACTAGGGTATGCCCTTGCGATATTGAAATTTGTATAGGACCTAAATTCAGTACAAGAAGTATGCATTCATCACGTGACTCTCCATCGATGGAACCAAACTGCATTCAGTACAGAGTGGGTCATACTATACTATTTCTATAGGTTTATAAGTTCTGTGATAATAAACAGCTTGATTCAGTTTTAAAACAACCCCTTGTTTGCACGTCGATTTTCCGTTGATTTCACATAGTAGGTCTTAACAGTGCTGCGTTGCGTGTTATTTTCTATGATTGAAGAATTTTGTGTTTAAAATGGTAGTGTAGGAAGGAAAGACATACTATAGTCTGTATAGGCAATTAAAATTGCCGTAACACTTATATCTTCAATTTTGCGACAACGTTTATATGAATAATTTTGTGCGACACTAGTGAATTCGACTTTTATATATTAAGTGTGTAAACAAAACAAGTCCAAATATTGCATACATGTCCAAGAACGAATTCGATGTCGATATCGACAATGTTATGTCGATATCGTATCGATATCGATCATGATGAACACTTTTAATTTGGTACCAGAAATGAGACTTTGTGATATGTCGATGTCGTCGATATCGACAATACCGTGTCGATATCGTATCGATATCGATCGTATTTGTAGAATTTATTTTCACAATGAGGTATAACATTATTTTATAAGGTCACAAGTGATGTCAAATTCATTCATTATTAGCATGAATATGAAATTAAATTATGATAAGGAAAGGGTTAGTGGTTGTTACTGTTTTGGATTAGGTTTAGAGTATGATGTTGGGTGAGGGTGGAAGTTGTTATATATGTTTTTACAATCATGATTCGATATCGACACGATATCATCGATATCGGCGATATCGACAGTAGGGTAAACTAATTAATCAGAAAGTAAATATGCACAAGCGTTGCACGAAGAAACAGAACTTATTGTCATGGGATATGTTAAAAATAAAGATTTTTGTATTAGGGTGAAGGTTGATGAAGTAATATATTTTACTAATCATGATTGATATCGACACGATATCGTCGATATCGACGATATCGATGGCAGGTACAATCTTCGTAAAAGTAAAGTAATTAAACATAAATACATTTACAAAGTAACAGGGACCGTATTTACAAAGAGCTGAGCAAACATGATTCGATATCGAAGCGACATCGTCGATATCGACGATATCGACACTACAGGGAAAGTTTTATAAAATATAGTTTTCAAGTAACTTATGTTAATACAATACTAGTATTGTAGATGGAAACCATAATTCTTTGAACAATCATGATTCGATATCGGCACGATATCGTGGATATTGACAGTAAGGAAGACTTCTTAAAAAGAAAGTATTGTAATAAACACACAAAGATGGAGAAATGTTAAAGTAAACTATAAAAAAGTAATGTGTCGATATCGTAACTACATCGTGTCTTGGACATAACTCAAATATTGTCAATAATTAGAGATTGTTGTCATGAATAAATCGCCAATCTTTGGGGCATCTGTATTTGACAATTTTTTAACTAAACTATTATCGCGTTCCGTTCAACTCCAGGGACGAGTTGGAAAAAAAAAATCAAAATGAAAAGAAATAGATAAATAAATAGGAAAAACACATCAGATTAGACACGAAAAATTTACTGAAGGGGAGGGGGGCTTGAATTTTAATATTATTTGAGAATGGTTTTATATTAATAAAGCATTATAACTTTGCTGTTCTTGACAAATAGATTTTTATTTATATCTAATACTTCAGCTTCGATCTATATATAACTCCATTATAATTTGAATTTGATTCCCCATTGTCCCCCACCCCCCACCCCCATAGGGCCATGATTTGAATAGATTTAAATCTTCACCAAATTATGACTAAACATAGCATTTCTGTTCTTGGAAATTTCCTCCTTTATTTTTCTATGTTAAACTTAAATCCAACATCGTGGCCCCACCCTACCCTTGGAGGTTGGAACAAATTTAATTCTACACTATCCAAAACTGCTTCCATATAAATACTAGTATCACTAATCATGGCTTTGCTATTCTTGAGAAGATTTTTAAAAAAATATATTTTAATGTAAATTATTCGGCTCTAAACTGTCAAAGATCTGTGTATGTTTTGTTTGTCAGTAAAACAATGTATAAATCTAAGAATGAGAAAAATTATCAACAAACAATATATTTTAATTCATAAAAAAATAACAAAACAGTTTGTTTATTACAATAGTTAATATAAGTAATAATCAATTATAACATAAATAAATCGTAAATCGACTGAATAAAATACAATGCATGAAAAAAATCGTGTGTGCATATTTCAAATCGAACTGTCAATATTAAAATATGAAAGAGCATACACACTCTACGTTCAATCACTGAATAAGAAAGAGTTTATAAGTTGAGTTTTTGCTATATCAAAATTATAATTTCCATTTTGTCCACTTTTTACCATTAACTACCATTACGAAGAAAAACATTATTAAGGATTCAAGAATTATGGGCAATAATAAATAATTTTTTTTGACAATTTTCAAATTAGAAAAAATCGATCTGAACTTGAAACGTTGCTTACAAGAAATTGTACTTACATCATCAAAATAAAAGACCCTGCATTTTTATAACATTTTAAAAGCCTCATCAATTTTAAATTCTATTTAAACATCCGAATCGCAATCAAAGTATTTTCTTCCCATAGACAACTAATAAGAAACTTGGTACAAGTAATAAATCATTTGAAGAAAGTGAAAGTAGTATAATATTGAAACCCCATCTATGCACGGAAAATGTACAAGTTCTTAAAAGAACACAGTCTTATGAAAAATAGTGATCGGTTTAAAAATCTGATGATCTTCTTAGTCCTCGTCGTTGCCTGTCCGTGATTTGGTTTTTTTACTGTATATATGAAGTTGTTAACTGTTCGCTATCTCCAATTGATATAGAATCTGATTTTTTTTCTCTCTCATACATGCATAGAACGCAAAACAATGCGCCTTACAATACATAGTTATTTCTGTTTTTTTTTTATCCATTCATCTTTTAGAGAAAAAAAGTTTGTTTAGGAATGTTTTAAAGTTTTTTCTTTATAAAGAACAAAAATGATATTAGGTAATAACTATCTATTTTGGTAGTTGCCACCGTTAATGCTGATTTAACTCTCGCAAACTGAGTTTTACCGGCGACGCGTAAGCGGAGCCGGTTAAACGGATGTTTGCGACCGTTAAATCAGCATTAACGGTGGCAACTACCAAAGTAGAGATTAGTTATACCCATTCTAATGCAATGCATGCAATTTGTTTGTTGTTAACGTCTTATTTTGATGAATTTTGTTTTAAATGAAATGCATCACGGAGCATTGTGTTTTTGCGAAGCTCTATTATGACGTCACAATGAAAAAGCTTTCACACTCGTTAATGCTCCTTTTACTGCTTCAAACATCAGTGCATTAACCAATAAATAAGTGTTTTACAAAAAAATTACATTATAATAAAGGTTTATTACCATAGAGTTCACTCAACAAATGAATCATATCTTTGTCTCCATGCTCAATGGCAATATCAAAAACTGATTTACCATGATTATCTTTGACTTCTAGAATGAGTGGGTGCTTTGCTGCTAAGTATCTACAAACATTATGTTTACAACTCAGACAAGCAATATGCAAAATACTTTCACCTTCATTTGACAGGGCATTGAGGTTTAATCCTTTTTTTATGAGGAAAGAAACAATTTTTACACTTCCCCCTCTGCAGGCTGAATGTAACACTGTCCATCCCTTATTGTCTCTTATCTCCAATAAGTCTGGAAAATTGTTAATCAAATACTCACACATTTTCATTTTTCCAAAGCGGCAGCATTGATGTAAAACTGTTGTACCATCTTTCTTTAAGCTTCTGATGTCCATCTTCTTCTCAATCAATAGTTTTACGATTCGAACATTGCCTCCCCTAGCTGCGTCATGCAATGCAGAATTATTAAATTTGTCCCTGACTTCTAATAGATTGGGATGATTTTTAACCAAGTAATCACAAATTTGAAACTTACCACTGAAGCAAGCTCTATGCAAAATACCTTTACCATCACTTGACAAGGCATTGAAATCCAATCCCCTATTTATTAGGAAAGTAACAATTTTTAGACTTCCCCCTCTGCAAGCTGAATGTAACACTGTCCATCCGTTATTGTCCTTAATCTCCAATAAGTCTGAAAACTTATTGACCAAATACTCACACATCTCCATTTTACCAGAACGACAGCATTGATGTAAAATTGTTTCACCATCTTTCTGTACGGTATTTATGTCCATATTTTTCTTAATCAGTAGTTTTACGATTTGAACATTGCCTCCACAGCTTGCAGCATGTAACACTGAGTTACTAGATTTGTCCCTGGCCTCTAATAGATGTGGATAATTCTCTATTAAGTGCTCAACAACTTCAACCTTCCCAAAAAAACATGCTATATGCAAAATACTTTTACCATCATTTGACAGGGCATTGATTTCCAATCCTTTGTTTATTAGAAAAGATAAAAATTTTACACGCCCCCCTCTGCAAGCGGAATGTAACGCGGTAAACCCATTAGTGTCCCTTATCTCCAAAATATCAGAGAATTGGCTGACCAGATATTCACACATATCCATTTCACCAGAGCGACAACTTTGATGTAAAATTGTTTCACCATCTTTCTGCAGGGATTTGATGTCCACCTTTTTCTCAATCAATAGATTTACTATCTGAACATTGCCTCCCCGGGCTGCATCATGCAACACTGTGTTTCTATATTTGTCCTTGCCATTTAAAAGATGGGGATGATTCTCAACTAAGAAATTACAAATTCTATGCTTCCCATTGAGACAAGCTATATGCAAAATATTTTTACCTTTATTTGACAGGGCATTGATTTCAAATCCCTTTTCAATTAGTAAATAAAGAACATCTACACTTCCTCCAATGCAAGCTGCATGTAATGCAGTAAACCCATTAGTATCCCTTGTCTCCAATAAATCAGAGAATTGGTTCACCAAATACTCACACATCTCCATTTCACCAGAGCGACAACATTGATGTAAAACTGTTTTACCATTTTCCTGTAGGGATGTAATGTCCATATTTTTCTCAATCAATAGTTTTACTATTTGAACATTGCCTCCACGGGCTGCATCATGCAACGCCGAGTTACTAGATTTGTCCCTGACATTTAATAGATTGGGATAATTATCAACTAAGTGCTTACAAATTTCAAAATTCCCATTCAGACACGCTATTTGCAGAATACTTTCACCATCATTTGATAATGAATTAATATCCAAACCTTTATTTATAAAAAAAGACAGAACAATTACACTTCCTCCACTGCAAGCTGAATGTAACATTGTCCATCCATTATTGTCCCTTATCTCCAATGAATCAGGAAAATGATTGACCAAATATTCACACATCTCCATTTTACCAGAGCGACAACATTGATGTAAAATTGTCCCACAGTATCCCTGAAGGGTATTCATGTCCATATTTTTCCCAATTAATAAATTCAGTATTTGAACATTTCCTCCTAAAGCTGCATAATGCAAAACTGATTGACTATGTTTGTCCTTGACATCTAATAGATGAGGATGATTCTTAACTAAGTGCTCACAAATTTCAAGCTTACCATTGAGAGACGCAATATGCAAAACACTTTGACCATCATTTGACAAATCATTTAAATCCAATCCTTTTTGTATTAGAAAAGAAACAATATCTACACTTCCTCCAAAGCACGCTGAATGTAACACTGTCCATCCATTATTTCCCTTTATATTCAATAAGTCTGTAAAATGATTGACCAAATACTCACACATCTCCTTTTTACCAGAGCGACAGCATAAATGTAAGATCGATTCACATCCTTCATGTAGTGTATAGACGTCCATCTTTTTCTCAATCAATAGTTTAACTATTTCAATATGACCTCCCCATGCTGCGTCATGCAACACTGAGTTACTCAATGTATCCCTGACATCTAAAAGATGGGGATGACTCTTAACTAAGTACTCAACAATTTCATATCTCCCATAAAGACAAGCAATATGCAAAACACTTTGACCATCATTTGACAAATCATTCACGTCCAATCCTTTATTTGTTAGAAAAATCACAATTTCTACACTTCCTCCTCTACAAGCTGAATGTAAAGCCGTCCATCCATAATTATCTCTTACAGATATTAATGACTGATGCTTATTTACCAAATATCTACACATTTCCTCCCTGCCATTTGCACAACATTTGTGTAACACAGTCTCCCCAGTATTTGTTGTACAATTGAGATTGAATCCTTTGCTTAATAGAAACTTGAAAAGATTAATGTTGCCTCCTTGAGCTGCGGAGTGGAGCACGTTTTCCCCGTCTTTGTAACAAACTTCCAGCATCTGTAGGTTTCTGCTCAACAGGTATTCACACATATCATAATGACCTGCTATGCATGCAGCATGCAACATAGATTCGCCTGAATTATCTTTTGTGTCTAAATTGCATTTTATATCACTTGATATATGTAATATATTTTCATTCTCAAAGAGGTTAAATATATATTCAAACATATCAACTTTTCCACTGTAAGCCGCCCAATACAAAAGACTTTTCCCATGAACATCTGTGTGTTCTTTGAGTAAAGCAGGATATTTCTTAATAAGGTATTTCACCATATTGGTCCTACCATCTTGACAGGCACAAGTAAGAACCGTGTGACCATTGTCTCGGTCCTTTTCATATGGATTAAAGCCAAACTTTAACACAAGATTGAATGCATGTTTGTCTCCAGAACTTGCTGCAGACTGTAATGCTTTGGCCCCTTGGCTGTTTTTTATATTTACAAGGAATGGATACTTTGCTAGAACTTGTGCAATTAATTGTGTTTGTTGCATAAAACAGATTTCCTGAAGTAAGCTATGCTTTATACAACTCCAGGCAGGATGCAAGGAAAAGGAAATTTGATGAAGATCAACACACTTACAAACTCGAAGCAATAACTCTATATTGCCGCTTTGTACAGCATGAAAACACGTTTGAATATCACATTTCACATCCGATAATAAAATGAGATTAACAATGTCGGTTTGATTTTTCGAGCAAGCAGCATTAAGCGCAATGTATCTTATCTTTTTTTCAGAATGTGGTAGTAAATATTCAACCCATAGTTTATTTCCCGTCTTCGAAAAATGCACAACCATTGAATTTCCCTTTATATCCAGACATGTTTTAAACCTCGAAGTGCATTCTTCAGATTGTAAGACGTGCTCATGGAAGTTCGAATCATTCCATAATTCCAGTGATGATATGGAAGAAAACCCAATAACAGACCTTTCTGTAACGACATTGGCGATGCGACGTGTAACATATTTAAACATTCTTTGTTCTATAAAAACTTGCGTGCTTTTTGACTTTTTACTAGTTGTTAGAGTCAAAAGTAAGGAAGGGTGACACATATGAATGATCTTTTTAGGATCAAAATTAAACAAAACACTAAAAAGCGATTCCTGTACTGAACTATGGGAAAATTTGAGGGTATTTTCTAGTGTGTCATGAAAAATTAAAAACCCCTTATAACAATTAATACTGTCCTGGAAATCGGTCATAAATGAGGTTTGAAGACCTATAAATTCTAATGAGGCGTGTTTCATCTCTAAATCCATATGAGGGTTATTAATAATTTCGAAGTCTACTGTTCCTCCACATAGGAGAAGATAAATTAAAACAGCGGTTTTTCCAGTTCGATTTTTCATTAATGTTTTGAAGTAGTCTGTCAAAAACATCATTGGATTTGGTAAAAAATCAGATACATTTTGTTTAAAAGATTCATTGCTTCTTGCCAATTTACAACATTGTGGAAACCCTATAGAAAATAGGTTCCCGTATACCTTATTGATCAGGTCTTTGTCTTCTATGTATTTCGAAAGCTCATATTTTTTTGATAGTTGTAGGATCTCTTCCTTTAACAATAGATTTTCCTTGCTTGATAGGTCAACCATGGACTTATTGAAAAACTCTTTATGACACTGGTTCCATGCAAATTCCTGATAAATATCATTTCTTAACGCAAATATGAATCTGTTTGATATATTATCATTGTCACTTTCAATTAAAACATTTATCATATCGGCTCTAGCTATAAATTCTTGAACAGCAGAGCTAGACAAAGAAAATTCTCCAAATAAATTGTCAATAAATACAACTATACCATCACCCGCTGATATGCTTCCATATAAGTCTTTGAACTTATAAAGCTGAAGAGGAAATTTTCCATCCTCTATCAATCCTTTCATTAACATCTTAGCGATTGTGGTTTTTCCAGTTCCAGGGTTACCCTTGATGACGACATAACCATTTTTGTCCAACATTTCCCTCGCTTTGTCAAAAGCACAAGTTTTAACAAATAAATGACTTACAGATTCATAATGTTTTTGTATCATTTGCTTGGTAGTTTCTGAAAAAGAGAATAATCATTTTCTTTAACGTTTAAATTCCTAATACTTATAAATTTTCAGAACTGAATCATTGAATTTATCACTTTTTAATCCATACGTCAGTGGTACGAATTTTCTTTAGGACATGGAGACCATGTCTTCAATTGAGACCGTATAAGTAGGGATCTAGTGTTGAAGTATCTGTTGGCACGAAAAGGAACCTTTACTGCTCAATGGCCCTGGAGTGCCGAAGACTAAAGATTTCATATTTCTCTCAAGTATATTTATTGCGTCATTTGTCTTGAACGACAAATCGTGAGAATTATGTTTTGGTAATGAACGGTTGATCTAGAAAACTGATTTGGATTATAGCATAATAAAAATAAAAGCGAATGATTTTATTTCGCGAACGATAGTCCTGTTAATTACGCGATAATGAATCCCTCGTGTATAAAATCAAATCTTTATTAAAGGTATAAATTTGCACCAGCAAGTGGTGGCATCTCCATATGAGTGAAGTATTCTGGAGAGGGACGTTATACAATAAACAAACAAACTTACATAGAGATATGCCCAGCGGAAAGTGTATATTAGTAATATTTTTGAACTTCAAAGTATTTTTTTTCATGCTCTCAATGTAGAGAAAAAAGAATTTCCAATGAAAAATTATATCTGACAAAACATTATCTTTCCAATGATATTTCAGTATGTAAATAGTTTCATGTATCAATTGAATGGTTTGACAATCATATGATCAGGAACAGTTTCTTAGAACAGAAATTTTTTTGTCAAAAATATAATTATGAAAAAAAAATGAAAAATAAGTCCTGGTTAATTTTCAATCAGTAAATGAATGAAAGGAAAAATATCGAATGCCATTTTAGCCGTTATGACTGTAAGTTGTACCAAATTCTACTTAGTATACACGATTAAGACCTTAATTACAGTGTACTTATTACAGTTAAGCAAACTTGCCTGATATGCATATAACATGGTGATTATTTTTTTCATTTGTTACCAGATGTCCTGGAATATCTGAAAATGATTTACCCCTTATAATTCATTTTCTTTAATTTTTGAGTATTATCTTACCGATCATTCTGGAAACTCTTGGATCTACAAAGAAAACAATGGAATCTGTCAGTGTTAAAAAAGTCATATCTCAGAATTACTGTTCTTGTTTTCCTCTTCGTATTAGAATATTTTTTTTATTCACGAACCCACAAATTCTTTAGTGCAGTACCTTTTGATGATTAAATATGTAATTTTTCATGACTTTTACTGAAATTTTAAATAATGGTTCAAAGGCAGGGGAAATGTAACCTTACTTATTTACGATGCACTATGAATTCTGTTTTAAAAGTGTTATTCATCGGTTTAAATACACACGGTTGCATTCTGTATGTTTTTTTGTTCCATTTATCGCTTTTAAAGACTTCCATATGGGATATTTACCATGATGCATCAAATCTCTCTGCATGATTTTCAAATTACCTGAAAAAAGTTTTTGAAAAGGTATATAAGATTGATCTTTGTTCATTGCTTTTAATTTTTTATTTATTTATTAATTTATTAATTTATTTTTTGCATTTTTATCATCTGACACATTATAAATCCCTAGATATGTTTATAAGGCTTTATTATAAGCTTTGTCTTCAACATTTCAGAAGAATATTTGCAATATGTCTTACAAAAAGTAAACGCTTACGTACTCGATAGATTATCCACAGTTGTGTGTACTTCTCTGATATCCCCAAGTAAATCTATGTATTTTTTCTCTTGCGCTGGATCCATGGAGCAGGTTTTTATTGTGTTGACGGCATCTTGATACACCGTGGTGGTTCCTAGGTGTCGCTCTAGCTCCACTACAATGTCTCGGATGTTTCGCCATTCCTGTCTAAAATCTGACTCGGATAGGGACAAACCAGTTGAATGTCCGTAATACTGGTTTCTAATGAGGCGGATTCTTTCAATGTTTGCTGCCACGCTTCTCTCCCCGGGACTAGGAATTTCTCCCCAACCTTTGGAATGTGATGCTATCTTACTTACATTTCGCAGAAGTAAATACAATAACGATATGTCTAAGTCTGAATAATCACCACTGTATTGTTTCGTTGGTTTGGGGAAAATTATCTCTGATTGTGTTTTGTTGAGTGGATTTCTATGTCCACGTGGAAGTTTATCTGTAAATTCTTTAACCTTTCTGGACAAATCAGATGGTTTCACTTCTGTCTTTAGAATGTCCCGTAACACATCAGTACATGGACCAAGTATAAGCCTGGCCAGTCGAGCAGTGTTTGTTGTTTCTGGTGTGGAAGTATAGCACTTTGACAAAGACATGATGTTTTTATCACCCTCTCTCTGTTTAAAAAATGTTAAGAAAATGTTAATCATAATTTTGTACTAAAATTCCGGAAATTTTTTCAAGATGTGATGTTTCAAGATGTTTCCTCAAAATGAATGAAAGCACGCATTTTCATTTTAAACGCTGGAAATTCTCAAAGTAAAGAAAAAAGGAAAGCTACAGATGCAAATATACGCAACATAACGACTTTTCCGGCTCATATGTTTCAAAAGCATGAATGACAGTTCCTTGACCGGAAGTTAAAGGGCTACCACACTAAGCCAAGTTAGAGAAAATTCGATTTCAGTATCTGAAAACAGAGAGAACAGAGAGGTTAAGCAGATGACCGTGTTCGTCTACGTGTACGTGTAGCTAGGGAAATCCCCTAATTTAATAACTGTTATTACAATGTTTACTGAAATGAGAGGAGAAAAGAAAAATAGCTGCTCTGTGACAATTACACTGTATAATTTCATCATCTCAAGATACAATACAAGAATATCTACGTGTCCTAATTCAATTATTTTTTTATTTCCATTATCTCAATTTAAATGTTCCTTTAAATTATTAAAAAATCACAATTAAAATTAAAATTCAAAGTTATTGATTTTCTTAATTAGGCATGAAAAATTCGATGCTCAACGTCCTGTATATTATTTGCATTTATGTTTAAAAAAAGCTGTAACAGGCTTTTATATATATAGAAAACAATTCGAGTACATGATTGGGAGGACGACTCATAGTAATTAAAATAAAATCATCGGGCATTATAATTATATTCTAGTCTATTGCTGAGAGTTTACAGTTATTACCCATTTTGGTCTTGCGTGGATATAAGGAAGCATATAAGTCAATTTTCGGGAAATTTATAGACTTTTTAAAGAAAATAAAGTGTGATAATTTACCAAAACCGCTGATATACGTTAACTATTATTAACTATTGCATAAAGATAAAAGACTATCTAACGCACCGTAGCTGGTTAAGGAAGACAAAAGGTAGATCAGTCTATATATGCTATAATGTCATGGTGAAACTGCAGAAATGAATATCGGTGAATAAATAATAATTTTCTTGTTCATACACTTTTACACACAATGATTTCTCCTAATTATTGTAAACATAAATCAATGTGTAGCTTATCTTGTCATTACAACATTATTTGAATGTAAAATGAAAGCCAACTTGATCTCGCTGTACTGACAGATATGACGTCATAGACTAGTTAGATACGCAGTTTCTCTGCTCTTGAGACGCAGATCAAGCTATAATGCAACTTGTAGATATGAAATCTAAAAATAAATAAGCGTGATCTAAAGAAAATTTAGTCATGATTCAAATGCATTTATTTATATTTCACAGTCTTTTTGAATTGATAACGAGTATCTTATAGAGCCGCAGTCATGCACTTTTATACACAAACGTACTACAATCACAGGCAATCCCCCTCCCCTCCCCCCTCGAAAATCTCAAAAGAAGAAGTCTCAATAAGGCATTATCTGTGGTCCCTAGTTACTACTCAAATTTTAAACTTTCATTAAAAAACTTAAAATGTAAATTATATTATTCTCTCATGTCTGTAGTATTTGCGTCAACGTTGAAAAATGTCAAATAATTGAAATAGACAACACGCGTAGCTGTGTTTTGAAGGTGGGGTCCTTTGATTTTCATGAATATCAAAAGAAATTTGTGACAGGTACCTACTTCTCAGCTTTCGTAAACATCGAGCGCAGATTTGTTCAAAGTCTAGATTAATATATAATATGTATATTATATTTATATAGATTGTGTGAAAATATCTTTGTTGAACAACTTTGCGCTCTATGTTTTCTACTTAAAAGTATGATGATTTTGAATCTGTTTGGTGAGTACATTTACATAACATTAACCTCTTGTTGACCTGCTAAAAATAGATAATATGTCACGTGATTCCATACCGCCACAAGTGAATACCTCCGAAAAGCGTGTTTTCTATAGAAAGCGACACATGTAGCTCGTATTTGAAAAGTGCAGTCATCAGCTTTTATTTTTTAAAATTAAAAACAAGGTTCTATAGATTTCGAAGAATATCACTCATGTTATATTTCAAATGATGATTTTCATGGAAAATGTTTTCCACGGTTTGGTTTTGGGGTGCATATAAACTCGGAAAAATTTTGAATGAACATGTATTAATGCAACGAAGTAGATGAATATTGAGTTTGAATTTCATTTACCAGTCTTGTAATATTTATTATTAAGAATCCTTATGAAGTATATATAATAATGTTTCTATTATTCAATAACTGTTTTTGAAGTGATTATGCACATGTATATTACGCGACTTGTACACGCCATGTATTAATCAATAATCGATAAGTAAATCGGAACATTTATTGAGGAATTTAGAGCAAAATTAACAAATAATACGTAATATCGCGACTACCAATGAGTACCTCGCAGTTATCTAACTTACTACCGCTCTTTTGCGGGGGAGTCGAGAAAAGTCTACATTTCTGGGGGCAAATGACATTGTTTACAGTAGTGACAATCGAATGATTCGAACAATTTAATGCCGAAATCACGATGTTTTGCCAGATATTGAACTTCAAATAGTAGATCGTCAAATGAGGAAAGTTTAGAATATTTTATCTGCTTAAAAATGTGAGGATTTTCAATGAAAATTTAACGAGAAGAGTCCGCTTAATTAAAAATATCGTTAAAAATGTGACAATTTAGAATTGGCTCCTCTCAAAAATATATTAGGCTGGTTCAGCGATTGTTTAGCGAGGTATTCCACCAGGATTTTTTAGTTATCTGTCCTTATAAATGCTACAATGATCGATCTTGCATTGTATTGAATAGCACATTGCCCCCACCCAACAGACGATTCCTACCTCCTTCGCGAAAGAGTTCCGCTAAGTTAAGTAATCGCGATATCAAGTAATTATTATACATGTCAGGCATGTAGTATCAGAGGGAGGGGTGACCCCTTCTTTTCAAAGATAAAACTTTAGTTCAACCCCCCCCCCCCACCCCCAATTTTCTTACTCCTTTAGGCTGGTACGAAATGAATGAACAAACATTAAAATTGTTGCTTTATTTTTCAAATAAAAATGAGTAATATTTGATTCCCACTCCTACATAATCGATTTTTTCAAGTTTGGAAGAGTTCACTCTTTTTCTTTTGCTTTATCAAACTTCTGTTCAGGTTTATCGATTATTTTTTCTCAACTTGCCCTTTACAAAGGAAAGGAAGCGTGTTTCTGAGTGTATTTACCATAATTTATTATTTGATCGCTTGTACTTTTGAAATTGTCATACGGAAGAAAATGGAGATAATGGTTAATATATTTGATAGTTGCATTTAGAGAGTGATTAGGGGATTTTCAGACCAAAAATACATCAAGAACAAAAAGAAGTCCTCTTACCCACGCCAAATTAAGAAGAATATGAATAGTGCAAAATAAAATTCAAGCTTATTGAATATTATTCAAACTTGTACATTGTTAATTATTTTTTATCTCACTCTATCGCTCACCATGTCTTCCTTTATCTAGTACCTAGATGTGTAATTTAAATGTCTCCGCCCATGTGTATGTAATAGAGAAACCGTACTCTGTTCGAAAGAATATGTTCCAGAATTTGTATGTGCGGTAGGTGTTGAAAATTGGCTTTTATTTCTTGATACTCAAAGTAATTAATAATGATTGTACAAAATTTTAATCAGAAATACTATATTATACACCATGAAAATAAAAAGTATACCATATCCTCAAGTATATTCTGTAAAATAAGGACGAAAAAAGGGACCAAGCTACTATACTTAAGTGGAATACTCCTTTAAAGGATATCCGCTTAACTATAAATCATGATATTTTATACAAATATAGTTATTGTCTCTACTATTTTGAAAAATGTTATAGGAGCAAGTTGAGTGCTGTTGATTTTTTTTTTTGTAATTTTACATTAGGCTGTTTAAAGTTAATTCTACGTTTAACGTCACATCTAAAGTTCAAAACCTACGAGGGAGGGAGGAAAAAAATAAACAAACAAAATTTTCAAACAATTGTAAATTTATTCAAATTAACCTATTCAGTACATTAAAAACATTACAATTAAGTAATATGAGCATTTAATTGATATGACACCTAAGATTAATTTTCCTAGTAGAGTTTTTTCCTTAGTATGTAAATCAGTTTGAGTCGTATTGTTAGCAAAAAATGTAGTCTATGACTGAATGTGCAGGAAAGTGGCTTCAAACTAGGCCTCAGTTGTCCTTTGGATTTATATTGCCACACGTCCATGGTACCCTGGAGGCAAATGCTTCTTGTGGGAATAGTTGCTCAATATGTACAATTAAAATTATTGATGACAATATTTAAAACTGTTCATGTTGGAATATCCTCAAATTGAATTATGTCGTATTTTTTCTTAGTACTAGATCTACTAGCATTAAGTTTTGAAAGTATGAATACTAATATATATTTGGACCATACTGATAGCTGTTAGATTATCTTTAATACCCTGAATTCCACACAAAAGACAGGATTCTTCACGTCTTGGAATACCTCAAACCACTTTCCTTACTCTCCTTCACTTGAAAGGCCCTATCTTCGGTAAGCTTCTCCCTGCTCAAATGGTTAAGACAAGTATTATCTTTGCCAAAAATTGTAGCTATTTGTACTGGTACATGAATTATGAAGAAATCAATTATCTTACTCATTACTGTTCCTTTCGATTTTTACCGAAAGATTTTTTAAATATTAAATAAATTAAATAAGATTTAAATGATGTAAGATTTAAATGATGCTTTTCACTGTATATAAATATTGGTTTTTGACACACTTCCTCTCGGTAAAAAAGTTTTTCGATTCTCTCCAAAATACAATGAAAAGTTCAGCCAATAATCACGAACTGAGAGTCTGTCAGTCTGTACGTGTGATTCGAAGACTGACAAAAAATAAAAAAAACTAGACTTTGTCATTAACTTCAATCATAAAATCATCTATTTTTTAC